AATTAATAGTTCACCCGGACAGTGAATTGATTCCCAGACTGTCTGGGTGAAAACCAGACAGGTGGTAACACTAACTGTAAGAACCATGTGATTGCTTTGTTGGTTTTTGGTATTTGTATTTTCAACTGTTTTTAAACCAACTTTTTATCCATTTATAGCATATATTAATGAGCAGTGTCATACAAGGCAATTAAAAGAGAAATGTACAGAGTGATTCAGAAGGTTACTGGATACCAGATACAGTAGACCCCCCTATAACACTTAGATACATTCCACGTTAATCGAATTTTACGTTGTAGGAATCATTAAATACATGAGCCAATCACAGCCCGATAGGTGTGAAGTTTATGGACTAAGGCTGTTTGAAAGGTTTTCTTCTATAAAATTAACCGATTCTAGACTAATTCCACTCAACATTTCCAAAACACGTATAATTTTTTGGAAATAATCCGTATAAATTATGCTATAAACAAAAAATTGTAGGATTACTTACCGAGTGTGCACCGTTCGACTACGTCATTGCTCAAAGCTTGTTTTCGTTGCGGAACAGCGCACGAAACCGTGGCCGCGATTTCTGATAACGAATTTTTCACAGAAAAATAACTTGACCTTTGGAGACATCATTAATATAAATAATTTTTATGGCCGTTGAATAAGAAATGTTTCATTCACAAGAAATGTATAAAATTAGTGCTGTATTAGACTTACGGTACCTAATTTACATACTGTACAGACGATAATAAACTCAACTTACTAGCCTAAAATCTCCGTAGCGTGTTGCCAGGCGGCAGAAAGCATATATATAATTATAATAAAGTTACAATAAATTAAGTTAATATATAATTATATATACAGTACCTAATTTATATATAATTAATATATAATTATATGTACGGTACCTAATTTATATATAATTTATATATAATACTGTACAGACGATAGCAAACTCAATTTAGCCGCTCCGTAGCGTGGCGCAGGGCGGAGGAAAGTAGTTCGGCTGCTTGTCCACTATTGGTCCAGATTCTATCAATCTTGTCGCAACACGAGTCGGCGACGACGTTTTAGGAGTTCCTTTATACGAATATTGCTACAATTTTTTCACTACGTTACAGGAATTTTCGTTATAGGAACGCACATTATAGGGGGGTCAACTGTACATTGGTTTTATAATATTTTTTTGTTTATTTATAAGCTAGTTCTTGTACTTTTCCTATGGTTACAGTGGTATTAGGCAATTTTTGTATTTTATGTATTCGAAAGTTTTATATTTTTTATTTAAAATATGTTAACATTCCAAAATGCATTCCATTTCATGTAGACCTGAGGAAGGTTTCTCATAGATCAAAAACGTTTGTTTTTAAACATTTTATCATCATTAAACAGTACTGGAAACAAAAAAAAAGGTGCTAAGTTAAATTAAGTTTTTATGCATATTACTTTTCAGTCTCATTTGTTGGGTTGTTTTTCTAGAGGTTATTCAGAAGTCTATTAACATTTGAAAAATTGATATGTAGTAATGCAATTAGCATGGAAATGCAAAGAATCATGTGACGTTTTTTCCCCAGAAGAGTGTCAAAATCAGTTCCAATTATGTCTACCAGATGGCACTTTGACTCATAACATCATAAAGAACTGCATCATAACAAATGCCAGTGTGGCAGACTTTGTTGTCAAATATGATGCTATGAACAGCATGAAACAGCATTTCTTAAGCTATCACTAATGCCTCCCATCATAGTTTTTTATCATTGCCGATGATGTTGGGCTATCTCTATAAACCCATAACTAAAAATTGAAGAGCATCAGGTCTACAGACCTATGTAACCATTCAGTCTGAAAGTGACAGCTTATCACTCAATTCTCTCCAAATGATGATAGTAACAGTTGTTTCACAGGAAAAGCACCTGTATGTCAACATCCAATACCTGTCTTTCCTCCAAGTTAGCATAATGCTGATTGCAATAGTGACAATTTCAAAAGCAGACTCCTGCATGACATTTTTCATGGTAAAGCACTATCTGATGGACATAATTTGGAACTAATTTTGACACTTTTCTGAGAAAAAAACCCACATGATCTACGCATTTCCATACTAATCCCATTACCATGTGCTAAAAATTCACTTTTTAAATGCTTACTGACTTTGGATCACCCTGTACATGTCTAAAAAGTTTTAAAAGTCAAGTACCTATATTTATAGATCCCTTTCTGAGTGCTTTTATGTAGTTTGTCAGTAATTTTTGTGCTCTTTATATCTGTAGTGAAATGTATATCTCTTTTATATTTATACACTGAAGAGATATGAGGATTAAAAAGGCCTATGGCTGAAATACTTATGTTACTTGTATAAGGATTCTAAGGGAAACAGTGCTTGTTTGTGATTGGTTTCATAAGAATAATGTCTTTTTTTATAGCTATAGAATGGTAAATGCCAACTCCCTTATGATAATGAAATTTTTATTTTTATTATTCTGATATTTTTTAGATATGATTAAAAAANTAGTAACTCAGGTTTTTATTGAGCCTGGTGGATGTATCATCCTATGAGTTCTTTCTGATTATATATTTCCATGCCAATGGTAAAATGGTTGCATCTTTATAGTTTAAACATTTATTATTTAAGCTAGATATGTAGATCTCACACTTCTCTGTTGTGGATGCAAGTGTAGGCGAGTGCACCTTTGCAATGATTCTGGCCTCTTCCCATTTAACTATGGATCCATCCGTCTGCACTATTTTTGATAACGCTGTTGCATATCGGCTCGTTGCTACGTCATACTTATGTTCTTTCATCCTCACGTTAAGATTTCTATTTGTGATTCCTATATATTCCCTATCTATTCCTAACTGGTCGTTCTTGTACAGTATTGCAACCTGATGATGGCCCATAAAATGGGTTGAAAACGTTTGTTTAGCTGAATAAATGTGCTTTCTCAGTATTAAGGTGTGTTGACTTTGTAATGTTAGAATCTGAGTGTGAATATAAGAGTATAATTAATTAATAATTTTGAAATGTTTAGAGAAAAGTTCAGTTTAGAAAAAGAACTTCAATTCAGAATCTATACATTCCAGTTGGGTATGTTACCATTAAGGCCATAATCCAGATTTAATTAATTATTTACTTAATTACTGTGCAACTAATAGAATGACATCTATAACTACAGTAGAGCATCAATTTTCTGAATCAATTGGGGACTGGGATTGTCTGGATAACTGATTTATGTACGAAAAAATAGTTTAACGTATGCGATTTCAAAATTTTTCTCCGTTGCGTGTCGCTTTGCATTGAATTTTCGTCAATGTTAAGCCTAACAAAGACTATTGTATCGTTAAAAATTATTTTTTTATTTTGTACAAACAAAATAAATATATTGAAAAATATAAAAATAATAAAAAATTATACTTCAGATATTAATTTAGTATCAAAAACGTAAAATATTTGAGTAGCCCAAGACATAACCAAAGATTAAAGCACCACAGCACTGGCAAAAATTTAAATTTGCGGACTGGAATTCTTTCGGATGATTGACTTTCGGAAAATCGACACTCTACTGTATTGCTATCTATTCTACTTCACAATAGAAATGTATATCCAGAAATATATTTATGTAAGATTATTATATTTATTTATTTCTATAAACTTTATTTTATGCAAGGAATGATTCATATCAAATAACACAAAAAAAATAAATATATATAAACGATGATTTGTGAACGAAAGTAAAACAAAAATTCATTTTCTAGAGTTAATTTTTTTGTATTTTCTTTCATAAGTTGTAATAGGCTACACTTATTGTAACCATTTTGCGACTATAATCAACTAATAACATTAAACAAAATAAATAAATAAGACTACAATTAGAGGAAATTACATTTTATTAATTCTAACATTAAAAGGACATGTTAAAATAATTTTAAAAATGAATAACTTTATGTTAAGAATTCATCCTGTATTGTTTGTCTACTATCAATTTTAATAGCTAGCTTAATTCCAACAATTTAAACTATTGTATTGCAAGCAAATAAGGATTAAAATAGCTAGCATTTAAAGTACTGGTTAAAACTGATAACATATGTTGAAGCTGATAGCATAAAAAAATATCTTAAAAACACCTATTTAACTTAAAATAATGATGATGATAATAACTAAATTATGACTGAAATAAGCAAAATTTTGTAATGTATTTTAACTCATGTGTTTTGTGGGAAATGCTAATTTTGATAATATTATGTGTGATTACAATAAGCAGAGTCTATGTATTTTGAAAAATACCACATGATATATTTCACTTAGAAGTTACACATACACAAATTTCAGAATTGATTAACAAATTAAATCTTAAATACTAGATAAAAAATTTTGAAAGGCCAGAAGAATGTTATGTTGAATTATATTATAATATAATGTGTAATTTGATATTTTTTATATTAAATACAGTTGAAAATTATCATTAAAGAAGATATTAAATAATGCAAATTTTAATTTTGTTTGAAATATTCAAGATTTGAAATATGGTGAAGAAAGTTTTACAATTTAATTTAAAATCATATTGTGAATTGGATATTTAAAATAATGAACCTAAACCTGAATTAAGTTTATGTTATAAAACATAGTAATGTAGTTATTAAAAAAAAACATTTCTACAAAGAACATTATGTGAATTCAAGTGTTAATTATTTTGTTAAATTTAGTTTAATATAGCTGGAAATTTTATCATTTTTATGTTATATAAGTAGGAAAATATATTAATCCTAAAGAATCTGTACATAACTCAGAATGAATCTTTAAGAATTTTATTTATTGATTTGAGTATATATATTAGAGAAAAATATGATACTCATGAATTTAGTCATTGAAAAATAACATAAATTTAGTATATAGCTATGAAAAAATAATTATAATACTTGATGGATAAATTTTGACCTGAGAGCCATCATTAATCTATTGCAATACATATAGTAAATGCAAAAATTAAAAATAAGTAAAATATAATAATTACCTGCCCATAAGTAGCAAACAATATTTCTACTGCATGCTGTAATTTTATTACATTTTGTTCCAGATTATTTGCCATTGACTGAAAATTTAAAAAAAAAAAATGAATTTAAAAAATAATAATGATTTATAGTATATAATAAGAAGTAAAATAAGCATAACAATAAATATGAATTTAATAGTAATAGAAATCATTGTAAGCATAATTATTTACAAAAGAAGTTTGTTAATCTAGCATCTATCAATTCAGAATGGTTCCAGATTATTGAAAATAATCTGTGGTTCAGAAAATTCAAAAAGTTACATACAAACTGAACATTGCAAACATTACTGTATATTTTGTATTGGTGCAAGCTATTTTACACTTCTGATTTGTTTATGCATACTCTTTAATTAGTCTAAAGATCATCAATGCTACAGTGCATGACTGTACTGTGTTAAAATTCATTAAAAAACCTGAAAAAATGTTATTGCACAAAATCAACATTCATAATGATTCATGTACTAGTACATATAATATTTTCCACACAGGTACTGTATATACAATTCACAAAAGCTACATAAGCTCCCACTATGAGAAATCTGTTTTTAAGTACACTGTTTTTGCATTGGTCTATGGGAAAGAAAATATATCAGCCAGTCACACTCATTACTGGATGCAAATCATGTGTACTATCCCTAATAAAGCAATATTCGTTTAGCATAATACAATGCAGAATATGCATAATTTACTGAATTATAAAATAAACAAACACCTTTCTCTATTCCAGCACAACATTTAATATGTTAAAAACGTTTTCGACAGTTTTAAGCAATCTTCTTCAGTTCAAATTTGAACCATAAAATGAACAAAGTATTCAAAATAATACAAAAATTCAAAGCGCTTATTCACGACTTAACGTTAAAGCACTTGCCCGTACTCATAAAATGAATAGATTAAACAAAAATAATTAAAAATAAACCAAAAATTGTATACCAAGAAATATTATAAAAACAATTAATAACGCCACCTACGCGGTTGCAACAGTTAATCTATGTTATCATAAAAGGACTTCCAGGCTGTTGATAAACCTTCAGCATCCCTGTGATTGATGCACTGCACAGTCATATGCACCTTGTGTATCTCAACTTTTTCAGGTTCTGCATTGTTGCTCCTATTTGCTGTTATTTAGAAACGGATGGTAATTAAATCCTAAACAAATTTAATTACCATCTGTTTCTAAATAACAGCAAATAGGAGAAACAATGCGGATGGTAATTAAATCCTAAACGGATTTAAACGGATTTAATTACCATCTGTTTCTAAATAAAATTATTAAGAAAGTTGCCAGAAATAGGAATATAAAAATAATTTATAGGCGTAATCCTACGGTGTATAAGCTTTTAAGAAACGATAAGAGAAGATATGAGTGTAATAGTATGACAGGAGTTTACTCGATACCTATGAAAGACCATAGATTTAACTCCAACCTAATATATATAGGAGCAACAATGCGGAACCTGAAGAAAAGGATTGATGAGCACAAATACTCAGTGAATAGAAGCGTTGATAGCACAGTCCTCGCAGCATTTGCGAAGCAGCAAGGAATTGCAGTATACTGGGATCAGGCAACAATATTAGACCTACAAGATCATCACAAGCAGTGAAACACCTGGAAAAAGTTGAGATACACAAGGCGCATATGACTGTGCAGTGCATCAATCACAGGGATGCTGAAGGTTTATCAACAGCCTGGAAGTCCTTTTATGATAACATAGATTAACTGTTGCAAACACATAGGTGGTGTTATTAATTGTTTTTATAATATTTCTTGGTATATAATTTTTGGTTTATTTTTAATTATTTTGGTTTAATCTATTCATTTTATGAGTATGGGCATGCGCTTTAACGTTAAGTCATGAATAAGCGCTTTGAATTTTTGTATTATTTCGAATACAGTACTTTGTTCATTTTATGGTTCAAATTTGAACTGAAGAAGATTGTTTAAAATGGTTGAAAACGTTTTTAACGTATTAAACATTGTGCTGGAATAGAGAAAGGTGTTTATTTATTTTATCTAATTAATTCCAGTAAGCATTTATTTATTTATTTATTTATTTACTGAATTATAGTTTATAGGTATTTATAACAAAGAAGATCATTACTGGAAATAATGTTTTGATTACTTATGAATATTCTGTTTTCATGAAGAAAAAAACTAAGAAAAACAAGCCTTTATTTATTCAAAATTGACTTTTAAATAAGTTTTGATTTAATCTTACAGCCTTAGTGGCGTATGCAGTAACAGACACAGATTCTATAACTTTTGATTTCCATTTTTAATTTAGAAATTAATAATATAAACAATTCAATCAACAGTTTAGATGTAGTTCTAAGGTGTATGTAATCACAGTTAAAAAAATATAAACAAAATATGTAACAGAAATATTATTAATATTAAAGCTGTACTTATTTAAAAAATATTTAATCTCACTTTTAAGGAAGGATGAAGATGGCCAGCTATGTCCATTGACAAATTTGCTTTATTTCGTTCAATTTTGTTTTTTTCTATCAGTTTTTTAAATATAAACACAGGATTAAACAAAGGATTCCTCAATTTCCTACAAAAGAATTAATATAAGTATAATTAATAATTAAATATTCAGTAATTTTGCATAGAGGTAGGTATATTTAATTATTAAATAGTAGTCATATTATACCCTGATATAATCTGGCAGCAGTGGCAGATTTCTGCACAGGCACATGAGGCTTGCATTTGGGCCTCAATATTCAGCTCTCAAAATTTAAAAAAATTATTTTATTTAATTATTTTTTTTTCATAATAAAAATAATTAACAATTTAGCAATATTCCCTAATTTTTTGATAATTCAAAACTGTGTCGTAATCTTCTTTGTTGCTTAAACACCATGTAGTGTAATAAATTCAAATACTTGGCATTCTTTCATCTTTATTTTAATTTAGTTGATATGCATTTTAGATTACACATTTCGGGCATAACATTCCCCTCCTCAGCCAACTAAAAAACTTGACAAAAATACATATAATACATAAAAAAGTAAAACACACATAAATGGTTAAGATATTTTTTAGACATCTTGGAATTTTTACAAACTGGGTTCTATTAGGTGAGTACATAATATGTATACGGCTTACACATTTACTATTATATATCTATTGAAACAAATATTATAAATATAATATTAATCTCCACAATACATATATCTATGCTTTTAACATACCTTCTTTTTCTTCTTTTTTTGGCCAATACAATTAAAGGGTAAGTATACCGCAAGTGCGAAACTTTACGTTCATCTATTTCATATTAAAAAATGCTTAATTCCTCTGTATTATCTATACAAATACAGTAGAACCTCGAAAACTCGACCTAATGTGGACCGAAGGGTGGCCGAGTTTGTGAAAATGCCGAGTTATCGGGAATGGGGTTAAAAAAAATAAGTACGAGTATTTCCTCAGAAAATACTGTACTGTACTTGTACAGTATTTACTTGTACAGAATATAACAGAGAATAAACTGCCCAAATACCCTTAAACAAAGGAAAAGTACGTCCTTTATGAAGGCATAGAGCCACTACATGAAAATGAAAATTAATGAATACACTGTGTACAGTAATTTACCTGATAAGACAGACCTCAGAAAAATACTTTATGAGAGCTTTTATACTTTTATAAAGCTGTCTATAATGAAAATTAATTAACTAAGGATTTTTTCGCCCTGCCAAGGTGTGGACCAGTTATCCGGAGTGCTAAGTTATCGAGGGACGAGTTTTCGAGGTTCTACTGTATATGAATAAATAATATGCCTGTTTTTATTATTTTGAAACTTATGTTGTTAGCATCCTTCCTTATCTTTGTCCAAGAAGCAATGTGGTGTTGAATCAGATTTCATTTCAAATTCTACCATTTTTTACATTTTTTTAAAAAGAGGAAATTCACTATAAATTATCTCGTTGTAATAACATGGAATAAATACGATGTACCTGTTTTTTATTTATAAAATTCAATATAACCAATAGAGCATAAATGGTTGCATCTTCACCTGCTTTGCATTATATCGTCATTCTGTTTTTACCTTTTTACTACGCAATAGTGTACTAATTAACATATTCTTGAACACACACCAAGACTAAACATACAGCTAAAAACACATAAGATTGAAGAAAAAGTCAAACCCATAGTAGACTTTAAATATTCCACGCTATATAATTTAGAAAAGTTTCTGAAACAAGAACTTAAAAGACATCAAAACTCACATCTTGCTATTAAGAACACAGATGAACTATTAAGAACCCAGTTTGTAAAAATCCCAAGGTGTCTAAAAAATATCTTAACCATTTATATGTATTTTACTTTTTTATGTATTGTATGTATTTTTGTCATTTTTTTAGTTGGCTGAGGAGTGGCATGTTACACCCAAAATGTGTAATCTAAAATACATATCAACTAAATTAAAATAAAGATGAAAGAATGCCAAGTGTTTGAATTTATTACACTACATAGTGTTTAATCAACAAAGTATTCCCTAAATTAAATTGACAAATGAATAACGCCAGCTGTGACATGTTTTGTGGGTGGCAACCCTAGCGATCATATTTCAAACCATATGCACTGACTGTTCCGTAGACAATGATGTACAGATCACAAACTTGGGTGCAAATATTCTTAAACAATTTTATTTTTAACAAAAATGAATAATAATATTCAAGACATAATAACAATTTACAGAAGCAAAAAATCAGATTTCTTTATTCATTTTACCAATCAGCGCATTCCCAGAAAACCCAAAAGATGAAATCAAATACTTGAAATGGAATTAGTTATAACAAGTGTTCAAAATGTTCTCCATTATTTATCAAACAATAATGAAATCTATTTATAGATTACTAGATTTTTGAAATACAAATCAGTAGTAAATTTAAAATTAAATTGTTTTTTATATCCATGGATTACTACATTTTTTGTTTTTAACATTTTTACCTATTGAAGCTTAATAATTCTTGTACCAATAAGTTTCAATTTTCATAATTATTACAATCTGAACATCAGTAACCTTTTAAATACAGCCAGACAGTTGTAATTTTATATTGGTTAATTTTCAACATTATTTCCCTATGTCTCATTTTTTTGGACCACCAGTATAGTGCCTACAGAGTAAAAAATGTGCACGTAGAATGCACACTGTAGGGTGTAGGGTAGTGAAAATATTTAGAAGGGCCTCAAAATTGAATTGCGCCTGGGGCTCTCGAGTGCTAAATCTGCCACTGTCTGGCAGATTGTGAGGAGGCTTCAAAAAGTTCATGGAGAAAGGATAGTATAAAAAACGATTTCAGTTATGATGTCTATTTTTAAACATATGCTCCATTAAGGTCAATACACTTCTGCAAACGTTGATACCAGCCTTTAAGTTCGTCTGAGTAGAACTGAGGGTCTTTTGATCTGAACCATGTCAGAGCAGCTCTTTTTACATCTTCAACTGATGGAAAATTGGTACCTTTCAGCAACTTATCCATTTGTAGGTTGTTGACTTCTTTGGAGCATTATCACCATAAACTTGTTTCAGAGCATCAATGATTTGCCTATTCTCCCAACCAAGTTTCATCATGAACTTTATGTTTGTTCTGGTCTCGATTTTGGTGGATTCCATGTTGCTTGAATGGTGCTTGACTTTCAACTGGTGGTGCTGCATTCTTACCTGCATTTAAGGGTTCATGTATGAACATGTTATAACATGTTGGTACAAGAATGTTCAGGTGTAATGAAATCAAAACCCTTCCAAATAATTTTTAGTTATGGACTTTTTCCATGAACTTTTTGAAGCACCCACATTTATCAATAATAATCTTGAAATTTGAGTCAAGTTTTAATTATATAAGAATGGAAATTAGTTTTTTTATTTGTTTAACTTGAAATTAATTAAGAAATAGTTTATCTCCAATTTTCAAAAACTGTACCTGAATCTGAAAAAATTGAATCATTTTAAATTTTATAAAATATTTAATGATTAAATTGAACTTATCAGCATTAGGCTTGAAATGAAATAAAGTAAATTAAAGTAAAAATATTATTTTATTTTTAGAGAAAGATTTTTATTGTTTAAATTTAGTTTTTATGGTGTTAATAAAATACCACAGCAAATTATTATATTCTGTTATTCTACTATTTTTGCATTTGTTAATCTAACTTTATATAAACAATACATTTTTTAAATTTGATAATGCTTATCAAAATTTGATTATTAATAAAAAAACATAATAAACAAATTACTTTTTATTCAAATATATAAATTATATATTTAATATATTTAACTAAGCTGAATTTTAATAACTAAATATCTAAATAATAGAGTTTTGATGCAGTAATTTGGAAAAATTTTTATTAATGAAATTAAGTAATAATTAAATTAATTATTAATATTAATACTTATCTTTAGGCTAAATTTACTTAATTTCATTAATGAAAATTTTTCCAGATTATAGCCTGAGAAATCTGATGTTTAGATATTTTAGTTATTTATGGTTTTATTTATATATTGGAATGATATCATGATAAGCATTGAACTCTATTTATATATACAATAAAATATAAAAGAACAAAAGTAAAAATAAAAATAAATTAAAAAGGACAGATTTTAAAATTTACAGATTATGTAAAGAGAAGAAAGAAGACTAAGTTCCTATTGCACATGCATAAAGTAATTATTATAATGAAGACAAGGAGGAATATGCACAGACTGGAAGAGATAACTGTACATGAGTAGAACTAGAAATAAAGGCAAAATATTTGATGATAATTATTGTCAATTATGTATTTTACTAAATTATTTTTAAAGAACAACACCATAACAAATTCTGTTAATCTGATGAAAGACTTAAATTAAGTATGAAAAAGTTATTTTAGATGGCAACTCTTGCCACTTTTTTAGTGGAATTATAAAAAATTTGCTTAAAATTTATGAGTTATATTATTCCTTTTAAATTTTGGGTGTAAAAATTTAATAATAAACAGAAATCTAAAAAGTCTCAATAAATCAAGTTATCTTCCTCAGATGAATAAAACAGAATACTTATTTGAAAAATTCTTAAAANGAACTGAGGGTCTTTTGATCTGAACCATGTCAGAGCAGCTCTTTTTACATCTTCAACTGATGGAAAATTGGTACCTTTCAGCAACTTATCCATTTGTAGGTTGTTGACTTCTTTGGAGCATTATCACCATAAACTTGTTTCAGAGCATCAATGATTTGCCTATTCTCCCAACCAAGTTTCATCATGAACTTTATGTTTGTTCTGGTCTCGATTTTGGTGGATTCCATGTTGCTTGAATGGTGCTTGACTTTCAACTGGTGGTGCTGCATTCTTACCTGCATTTAAGGGTTCATGTATGAACATGTTATAACATGTTGGTACAAGAATGTTCAGGTGTAATGAAATCAAAACCCTTCCAAATAATTTTTAGTTATGGACTTTTTCCATGAACTTTTTGAAGCACCCACATTTATCAATAATAATCTTGAAATTTGAGTCAAGTTTTAATTATATAAGAATGGAAATTAGTTTTTTTATTTGTTTAACTTGAAATTAATTAAGAAATAGTTTATCTCCAATTTTCAAAAACTGTACCTGAATCTGAAAAAATTGAATCATTTTAAATTTTATAAAATATTTAATGATTAAATTGAACTTATCAGCATTAGGCTTGAAATGAAATAAAGTAAATTAAAGTAAAAATATTATTTTATTTTTAGAGAAAGATTTTTATTGTTTAAATTTAGTTTTTATGGTGTTAATAAAATACCACAGCAAATTATTATATTCTGTTATTCTACTATTTTTGCATTTGTTAATCTAACTTTATATAAACAATACATTTTTTAAATTTGATAATGCTTATCAAAATTTGATTATTAATAAAAAAACATAATAAACAAATTACTTTTTATTCAAATATATAAATTATATATTTAATATATTTAACTAAGCTGAATTTTAATAACTAAATATCTAAATAATAGAGTTTTGATGCAGTAATTTGGAAAAATTTTTATTAATGAAATTAAGTAATAATTAAATTAATTATTAATATTAATACTTATCTTTAGGCTAAATTTACTTAATTTCATTAATGAAAATTTTTCCAGATTATAGCCTGAGAAATCTGATGTTTAGATATTTTAGTTATTTATGGTTTTATTTATATATTGGAATGATATCATGATAAGCATTGAACTCTATTTATATATACAATAAAATATAAAAGAACAAAAGTAAAAATAAAAATAAATTAAAAAGGACAGATTTTAAAATTTACAGATTATGTAAAGAGAAGAAAGAAGACTAAGTTCCTATTGCACATGCATAAAGTAATTATTATAATGAAGACAAGGAGGAATATGCACAGACTGGAAGAGATAACTGTACATGAGTAGAACTAGAAATAAAGGCAAAATATTTGATGATAATTATTGTCAATTATGTATTTTACTAAATTATTTTTAAAGAACAACACCATAACAAATTCTGTTAATCTGATGAAAGACTTAAATTAAGTATGAAAAAGTTATTTTAGATGGCAACTCTTGCCACTTTTTTAGTGGAATTATAAAAAATTTGCTTAAAATTTATGAGTTATATTATTCCTTTTAAATTTTGGGTGTAAAAATTTAATAATAAACAGAAATCTAAAAAGTCTCAATAAATCAAGTTATCTTCCTCAGATGAATAAAACAGAATACTTATTTGAAAAATTCTTAAAAATTACAGTTAATTTTTACAATTTTTCTAACAAGTGTTCTTTCTATTTACTTTTGAGAGATAACTTGATTTATTAACAATTTTACTAATTTCTTTAATATATTTCGGTTTACTATTAAATTTTATCATCAAAAGACAGTATTATTTCTTAATTTGTTTACAAAATTTTAATGTATGCTGTCATTAAACAAAATGTAAAATTATCTAAATTCAAAACTGTTAATTTTGTTTTTAACTATATTAAAACAATAAATTTCAAATATGAAAATAATAAATTACAAGTTTATAATTTTAAATTTTATAATAATACTTACTTAACATTTTCAGATATATGACTTCCTGCATAATTGAAACCAGTTAGAGAAATATACATTTTCAACATATCTGATGATCCCTAAATTACATAATTATTACTTCAAAAAGTATATACTTTCTTTAAATTTTAAAAACAAAAACTACTTAATAGCACTTACTACTAAATAATGCAATTTATAAATATATACATTTTTTATTTATTTTCATATTTATAAATTACATAAGTAGGCTTAGGAATATTTTTAATGCCAGTCTTATTTTTGGGGAACCATAACCAACATTCAGGAAATGATCTCTGGATCCATTTAAACCAAACTTTTAATCCCTATTTTGCACCCTTCCTCCTTTTCACCATTTTCCTCAATTAGCATCATTTCCCATCTTTTTCAAACTTTTGCACAAAATTACAAATACAATCCATTCTGATTCCAGTATTGACAGTTAAACAATTTCTAACTGATTTTTCCACCCATTTAACATTTAGAAATTGGAATTATGCTTTTAATTGGCTGACAGATTTCAACTGTAAACAGTTCTGAATTTGAAATTATTCCTTCCCAAAATTTTAAACTTCTTTCTGTGATTAAATAGAAAAAAGTCAGTTGACTAATAGTGGTTTTAAAAACAGTATAAATAGGCAGTTTCCTTTGACATCTCTACTTTTTAATGAAGTTCTGCACCTTTTTATCATATTGTAAGAACATATACAGTATATTTATACTGTATTGGCCCAAATATTATGAAAATAAGAAACTTTCACTTGTCAGCCCATTCCCAGGTTGGTAACTCTTGTATTGACACAATTAAGTAAATTTTTTACAGAAGAAAACAAAGTAATTTGGATATAAAGTTTCATATAAGCTTAAGTTACATTTATCACAAGAAAAAAGTGTTGGAATTGGCTGCAATGGCTGCTAATGGTGAATGAACCGTACAATATAAATATAGATGTCAATTGATCAACCAAATGGTCATTTGGGAGAGAGTATGTGTGGGTCACCACATTGAAAGCAATGATTAACAATGATTGAGCAAAGTGTGACCACTGTCAACTGCTACTGAACTTGCCAGGTCTGCATGTTTTGCATCTAGTTGAGCTACTTTAACTGCAAATCACACCTTACTACTTGGGGTTGCAGATTGTGCATTTTTAGGCTGATTTTCATCTAATTTACATTTTGAACTTAATTTCAAATCATAAACTAAATATCTACATTTGCAGCCCAATTTGACAATGCTGGTTTTTGAAATGATACATCACTGTCTAGTAATTATTTTTCTTGTAAAACTTTAGGGAGTACTGAAATGTTAGGTAATAAATGGGGAAGGGTATGCAGGTTTGTTAGCAAATGTTATCAGGAAGGGATGGATCAAAATTTTCCTAAAAATGCATTATATAATTTATGGACAGCCCTAAGCTGCTTCTCTTTGGATGTGATCAAAGTGATAGTTAATTTTTTTCCAGACTTACTTTCAAATGTTGATTGATCTAATTTTAAAATATTTCTCTTAAGAAATGCTGAAAGTAGTAAGCAGGAAGGAAGGTTTACAAAAACTATCTGCAGGATATGCCAATGAAGGTATTGTTACTGATGAAACTAGCTTGAGGTGTAATATTTGTGATATAAAGATTGCTGTTGATGAAAAGCACATGTCAAAACATGTTAAATGGCACATTTTGACTGTGAAGCACGTGAATGGAAATGAATTATGATAATTTTTGAAATAAGTAAAAAAGCTAGAAAAAACAAACTTTTATTACAAAATCCTTGGCAGAAAGTAGTAACAGTGCTGCTTTCAGAAACAAATTCTTTTCGTCTTTAGCTATAGTTTTCTTACATTCTGGGATCCCTCTAAATAAGGTTGGTTATCCAAGTTTGAAAAGTGTTTTGGAGAGATGGACTGGCAAAACCAAAGTACTTTAGTAAATGGTTATGTTCAATCGGCATATGCAAAAACAATCAGTAAGTAAGATATGGGATAATACTGGAGATAACCCTGTTTTGTTTCTTATGGATGAACAAACAGATGACATGAAATGATTAATTTTGAATATTTTAGTTGCCCTACTAACAGACAAACTGGTGAATGCAATGCTCTTAAAGATATATATAAGCTGAAAAAGTATGATGCTACCCATGTAATACATGCATTTAATGATTTCATGAAGCTGTGGCCAGATGGCATTAAATTCCAAAATGTTCTAACAGACCAAGCCCCTTACCCACTCTCAGCTTTCAGGAATTTAAAACCAATGTTTGTGTCAACTTGAATCACATTCCATGCATAGCACATGTCCTTCATTTGGTTTGTGAATCAGTATGTGCTTAATGTCCCAAAGCAAACATATTTATTTCAAAGATGAAAAAAGTTTTAAAGAAGGCTCCAGCAATAGTCTCTGTATACCATGACATCTTCCTCTGCCACCTGATCCAGTCATCACAAGGTGAGGAACATGGATAAAGGCTGGCATTTTCTATTGCAAAAATTTTGAGAAAATCAAAGAATTTGCTCTGCACGTAGAAGATCCTGATTCTGCTGCAGTTGGTCAAATTAAGAACTTAGTTTTGGATGCTAGTGTTCAAGAAGAACACTAGCATCCAAATTAAGTCTGCTGCATATTCATACAAATTTCTTGTTGATGCAATAACCAAATTAGAAGGAAAGCATCTTCAAAAAGAAAATCAGTGGAAACTGTTTTCCTCAGTAAGAGATAAGTTATATGGATTTTCCAAGCAAAACTTGAGAAGAGTCATGCTAAGAATCCAAACTTAAAGAAGGCCATGGAATGCAATGATTTAGAATTTTGAGTCAAGATCAAGTACCTACTGCTTACATCTGTGAATGCATGACCTTTTTCTGCACACAAAGATATCTTTTCATGTAGATTCTGAAAATTTACATTTGAAAAGTTGGAAATTATTACCACTATTTAAGTTATTTCATTCCTTTTGACAAATGACTGTAATTCAAGCAATGATATGTGACAGTGCACAAATGCTCCCTATACTTCTGAACCACTTGACCAAAGGATTGGTATCACCTCAAGACGCCATGTCAGGATTCTGACACGACTGTATCTTTTAGATAGACACATAAACTATTTGTTCTCATTCATGCATGAGTAATTGCATTTTATAAAATAAAAATGAATAGATTCAAAAACTTCATTTCAAAGGTTTTTCTAAATTAATAAAAGTAAATAACAGAATAAATAATACAAGTATCATCAGAATGTGCTAAAAACTGTTTGCAGCACAATATAATATTAAAACTTCAATATATACTAGTAATATTAGAATATTATAGCAAAACAAAATTTAGAAGAGTATTTCATAATTAAAACAAAATAAATTTTATTGAAAGTAATGAATAGGATTTATAATTAAATTATTTGATTTAAAAATGTCATTCTTTGTAAATTATTCACAAAATACATATTTTATTAATTATACATAAATTTCATATAAAGATACAGATTTAAATAAATTATAAATTAACTGAGAGTCCATAAGAGAAAAAACTAGAACAATCCACAAAAATATTATCAATATAGGGATACTTCACAAATCAACATTTGATGAATAGTTTCTTCTTCAACATTATAAAATTATTGAACTAAATAATTTGTACATTGTAGGCTGTTTATTACATATGCATAACAACTTATAATCTTTTAAATATGTTTCACATGCTTAAATTATAGTCTCAATTAGGTCATTAATATTTTAAAGTATTCAAAAATATAAATTAACCTCAACTATATTCCAAGCAAGAGAATCTCTTAGATATCTGCTGTAAGGATAATTTTTGAAATAACTTCTACTTCCCAGGATCTCAATGCATTTGTTCACACACCACCATGTTTGTTCAGCACCAAATACCTGAAAATATTATAAATGAGATTTGATTATTTATATAATTTTATTGAAATAATTTATATTAAAAACTTATTTAGTAGAAGAAAACGTTATTGTATTATAAAATAATAACTGAATGATACAAATTATCAAAGTAGCAATACCAAATAATTAGAATCATTCAAATAAAAATGATAAAAATTTAACAGCTAAAAAGTTTAATATTTATTATTTTTTAACATTATAAAATTTAAAAATGCTGAATATTAAATTGTAAACATTAAAATCATATATAAATAAAAAATGTATTGTCAGGGATGGAGCCAGAAATTTTTGTGTGAGGGACACCCATGCTAAAAGTCTATGATGCTGCAGGGAAAGGGGCTTTCAGATCAGAGTAAATTTAAGTCAAATTTTGCAACTTTTCATTATGTAAACATGTCCTAGTCAAGCAATGTATAGAACAAATTGACATATGATTATGAAGACATAAGAGCACCTTATAAACAAATTAAACTACATTCACTTTAGCAACTATTTCAGTCTGATGTGTCTATACTTCTTATGTATCTAGTGACCAATTGCCTTTTGAAAATTAAATGTCTATACAAGTTGCCTTTTTAAACAATTCTCATAATAGCCTGACTTAAGTGATTACACACATCAGTTTTTACAATGTTCATTTGTGGAAAGGTTCTTTCACAAGTACCAGTGTGAAGTGGAATAAACTCTAACATTGAGTTATTTTGCACATGTTTGAAAATAAGGTTTTGTAAGTCACATTACAGCACAAATATTTCACCAATTGCACAGTTGTTTTTTTCTTATGGCAGTCAGTGACGAACTACTTAAGTATTTGTTATAAAAATTTTCTATATTCTTTATTATTATAAAATGGCAAAATGCATAATTTTCAGGGTAGAGATGAGTTTTATAAAAAAAACTGTAAATGTTAACAACAAATAAAATCATTATGTCTGATCCCACACATGATAAGATGTGTGATACCCCTCCACCTTTCAAAATCAAAAGTTAATAGCATCAATATCCCTTACATACAAGCTATCATGCAGATTTTGTTTCATTACCCCATCATGAGATATTAAATGAAACAGATGCCAATACACGTACATTTCTAAATACATATCCTTGGAAATTTTTTCCCATTTTTTTGATATTTTAGGTTCAGAGGGTCTGAAAACATGGATATTTGCAAAAAACCTAGAGGGTCAAATTTGACACAATTCCAATATTTTTCCTTGTTATGTATACATAACAGCAGGGAAAGTAAAATACAGTAGAACCTCCATTATCCGGATTTTCGATTATCCAGATTGTTCAAAATAAACAAAAATTTTACGAATTTGCTGATCTGCACTTGGCAAATTACGACACTGTTTATGTACGTGATGGAATGCATAACTTTTTTTGTTTCAACAACGTCTCATCCAGCACAGTGGTCGTAAACTCTTAAATATATTTTTTACGTAGTAATAAAAATATAACTTGACATACGTATTTATAAATAATTTATATTCAAATTACATCATTTCTATGACCAAGGGCGGCGTAAGGCATGGACGACGTATGCCTCGCGGTCCGAAGGGCCTCGCGCCTCGAAGGTTTATGCATTACTTAAAAGCTGCGAACGCGATGAAAAAATTTTACTCGTCATAAAACGATAAATAGTTTGTCAAATTTTTATTCATAAAAATGCAGTTTCAACTGCTTTTTATTTTATAAAATCCGTCTTCTTGCGCCGCCAGAGAGCCTTTTAAACAATAGGTGGTCTGTTAGCGTTGGTCAGTAGTAGTCCAAATTCAATACGAACGTTTGTTTCTTGAAAATTTGATCACGATTTAAATACAGTATTTACTTTTAATATTACCAATATGTCATCGAAAAGAAAACGTGTTGTATTATCATTAAAAGACAAATTAAAGTATTTGTTTCGATTATCCGGATTTTTCCTTATCCGGACTACCTTCATCCCCAATTAGTCCGGATAATCGAGGTTCTACTGTACTTGTTAATTTGAGTAAAATGAGTTTACCAATGAAACAAATTTAGTATTTATTGTTATGGCAAACAGACAAGAAATTTTAAAGTAAAGTATTTAATAATAATTACAGTTATCAATTATATTTAATTCATAATGGTATATGTTGCATCTACCACTAGACATAGCAATTAACTGCTGCAGGCACAAATGAAACATACTGTATTTTTGCAGATTGATCAGCATGCTGCATATAACTGGTGGAGACTAGCATGCCAGTTAAACTGTGACTAAAAAATAAAATTAATCAGATCTAACAACACTAGTTGTTAATTAAATATTAAAGAAAACATTCTTCTGAGTACAATAAAATAATAACATTGTAATTTGACTGACTTAAAATCAGGAAGAGAGTTTTCTTTTACAAGCCAATAAAACAATTAATGATTTATTGACATTAGTAGTAATAAGCCAGTGTGGGTGCACTGACAATCTACCCTGACCTTAAAAATAACACCTTACTCTCAAATTTTACACAAAGCTAATGTTAATTGTTAAAAGTTGAGATAATTTACAGCAAGTTTCTGAAATTTAATGTTTATTTTTGTGTTTCTGAATCAAATTACAACAAACATAAAAAAAAAAAAACACTTTTGGCATTCCATGAGTACTTTATATTGTTAGAAAGAAGACAAAATAAAGAAATTAAACATATAATCATAGTTTTTGATGTAATGCTGACAGTTTCACAGTTTTAGAATAAAAACTCATTTGGTTTTTTAATGTGCCCTCTAGAGAGGGATGTATAACCTCACTTAAACCAGCATGCTGGCATACTGGCATGATGGTTTTTACCATGTGGAAATATCTGATTTCATGGTCACTCTAAATAGACCAACATGCTGAACAACCAATGAAAATGCAATATTATATTGTATCTCATGCAAATCTTTATCTATATAAATTACATATGGATATTAAAAGCAAAATGTTCTGTCACTGCCAACCGAAACCAAAACTAACACTTTACAAAAAAGTGCTATAGAGAGACTTGACTCTGATTGCCTGAATGAAATATAACCAAATCAATAAAGATGAAAAACAAGTACTTTATTCACACTTTCTGAAATATTGTTTCAACTGATTTCATTTCAATTTAAATTAATTAATTTTGATTTTGTTTTCAGTTTCATTTTCAGTGTAAAGGCTAGAGTTTAATTATTATTAAACTTAGCCTAAATTATTATTAATCTAGCTCTAGTAAATTATTAAATTTACTTTTTTGAGTTTTTAATTTAGTTTTAATTAACTGGTTACCTAGAGATAACTCCTCATGAATATCCAGTTTTCAAGTGTGAAACAGTGTTGTGGGCAGTGGAGAGTAAGGGGCAGCAAATCACGGGTGCGGGAATTGGTGCCCCATGCTGCCCCATGTGACTACATCCCTGTATTGTTAATTATAAAATTATATTAAATTTAACTATATTATATTTTTATTCTAGTAATTTTAAATAAAATTATAAAGTTTTAATAAAATGATTGTTTTTAAAATACTTTTTCAGTTCAGAAAAATTAGATTGTCATGAGAATTATAGCTATGTTAATTATGTAGGATTATAATGGCTCTATTACCTTTAAAATAGCATTTTCAATTTTGCAGTCTGGTTCTTCTACCATGTCTAATATACCAGCTGTTAAATACACCATACTCTCAATAGCATAGATTTTACATGCAATTTCACCCATTTTTTCCTTCAATAAAATGTATTTTTATTTTTAAATTTAATGAAATTTCAATATATTTAAATTATTTCAATAAATATTATAAAATTTTAAATATAATGTAACAAATGTGTAATTAGGAATAAAAATTCTTTTTATTTATATGTTACATTTAAAGAAATTAAAACAAATTCAATAACTAATATTTTATGCTAAATGAAAATTTAAATGCTTTAATCAAGGGAATCTAAATGTAGGAGTATTAAAAACTATAACTTAATGCTTTTGATCAGATGTATTTTGACTTTATTTTTAGAATAATTTTAACTGTGTATATAAGACAGACCACAATATACAATACTAAAGTGTTCAATAACAAAATATTTGTGACTTTTAAAAAATTACATAATTTTTTTTTTGTAAAGTTAAAGGGAGCACTCTAAATTGGGAGAGAGAAAATAAACCATCTCCATCTATAAATTATATAACAGATATACAGTACATTAGGGATTGCAATATCAAAGGGTTTTATCAACACAGATATTTCAGTAAAGAAAGCTTTCAATACCAGAATACCAGTATTGAAACCAGTGTTTGGATCTTAGTGTATGAATCTTCAAACATACAAAATACATTTTTAGTTATTAGATGAGCCAATGTTGCAGGCAAAAATTATCTCCACTTCTGAAAAAAAAAGTAATCAGTCACTCAATTTTAAAAGTACTCGCTTTTGGTTCACTTACTTCTGCTTCTAACCCTCTTTTTTGCAAGTTGACATTATGCATTTTTTTTGTAAATAAATATGCATACTGCTAGTCAATTCCTCTGCAATTTTAATTATTTTGGTACAAGTTTTACATTTGATACATGAGTCCTCTTTCTCTCTTTGGAAAAAATGCCAAATCAAATTAAATACATTAATTTATTGATTTTCTTCAAATTCCATTTTTTATAACCACAGATATTTCACACACTCTAGCATGCCCTTATTTTTTGACTTCAAATTTTTTTGAATGCCCACCTTCCCATTTTTTTCCTTTCACTCAAATCCTTGTCCATATTTAATTCTTTGGCAATTGATGAATATTAACCCATGCTGACTTGAGCATCAGTGTGCCACATCTGAATGTGCCATGCATCACTCAGACCTGGATTGGTTATTGCACATGGGTTATTGTCAGTTTGTGTTTAGTTTCTGGCTGTGTTAGATGTATCTATGCACCATTACACTAACATTATATTGTATGAATTACATATTGCCAAGGATAGTCTGTTCTTGATAGGAAACGTCAAATAACTAGAGGCAAACTGCTGTCAAATAGATAAGTGCTGGCTGTTTTATTTTTCAACATACAAGAGACTGAACTAACTATACACGAGAAAGTGAATCTTGTAGTTTGTGAGTGCATGATCTTTTGGGAAAAAGATAGAATTCCAACAAGATCCCATCAGCTTTATGTAAAAACCCTCACAGACTTGTGTTTGAAGCAGAGAAAATTACAAAAGAATGCAAGAAAACATCAAGAGATTTTTAAGTGCCATAAAGAAAAGTTTCATCAAAACAATGCAGTCAACCTGTTTGATATCACACATGCAAATGCTCTAAAAACCATCAAATTAAATGAGGATAGAATCTTTTTACTGAGACAGAGAGAACCAGGGCAAAGAGGCTGTCTTACAGTTGTGGACTAAAAACTTATCAAAAAAGAATGGTCAAGCAAAAGGAAACTTGAAGAGGAGAAAAGACAATGTAAGTAATCTATGGCATCCACCTCTTCTGCTGCACTTCCTCTATCATCATCTGAAAATGAAGAAGACACATTTTCCAGTTTGGATGAATGCAATGATGATGAGTCTTCTGCACAGTTTCTGGATGATAAACCAAGGCAGAATGCTGCAAGATGAGGCACAAAACATTAATGGCAAATTAGTGGTTGTTTTGGACAGATGTCAATTGAGTGTAACAGACTCTGTTCATATCTTTCAAGCAACAGCAGAAGCACTTGATCACAACACTGCAGAACTTCCTATTAACAGATCTTCCACTCATCAAATCAAGCAAAAGAAAAAGGGTTGAAGCCATTAAAGCTGCATTTAAAAATGATATCCCTGCAATTCTGACTGTTCACTGGTATGGTAAGCTATTACCTGCATTTAATATTAGGGAACCAAAAGAAGAAAGAATCCTGATATTCATGACATTTGAAGACAGAGAAGCTCATCAGTGTTCCAAAATTAGAAAATTCTTCTAGTAAAGACAAGCATATGCTGCCATAAATGCAACAACAGGTTGGGGTTTATAAAAATAATGTAAAAATTCTTTGTAGCAATACAATGCCTCAAACACTGGCCACTTCAGTGGTGCGTGCATCCTTATTGAACAAAAATTGGATAGAGAGTTGTTGTTTTCTCCTGTCATTATCATATCTACAAACTAGTCTTGTGAAGTGTATTTGAAAGAAAAATATGTGAGATAACAAGTAGTCCTGACATATCTCTCTTCAAACAATTAAGAAAACATTGGGGAAATATCAATACTAGTAATTTTCAAAGTGGTAAAGATTACACAGAAGAGTTTTTCAGTAAACTTCACTCACTCAAGAACTATTGAACTTTTATAAAGTTGAACAGCAGAAAGAAATACCAAGAAGTGATTAAGTGATTAACATGAACTTATAGAACTGTGTGCACTATTGGGAGGTGACATGAAGAAGAAACTAAAAGTCTGTCCTGCTAGGACTATGCATCTAGCTCAATGGATGGCAAAAACAATTTATTCCCTAAAAATGTTTCTCCTAAGGTCAGAACTTAAACTATCCATCAGAGAAAAGGAAGTTTTATGTGATATTTCTCAGTTTGTTATAACAGTTTATGGCTTAAGTGCAGTGCAGCTGTAAAAGCCCTAATAATGAACTATGCTTCTTGCAATTGTTAAAATCATATGAAGTAATAGATACAACATTCCTACAGCAGTTTTAAAGAAGCATAGCCAACACTTGTGGTATTTATTCAAAGAACAGGCAGTTCTATCTCTGTTTGATGATCATGTTGACCTTCAAACCAAAAGTAAAATGTTGGTCAATTTGGGCAGAGAACATCAATGTATGTGGAGGAGATTTATTCCTCTGCATGAAGAAATAGATAGCAAATTATTTGGTAAGTTTAATTTCTTTTTACTATAGTAGCATACTTTTATTTACCTTGTCTCAATGATTTGTTTTTCACTTTAGAGAGGAATTCAAATTAGAGGAATTGTTTCTCAACTACAAATGGATAAAAAAACTTGTATCCATTTGTATCCTTGTATTCTCCAGCAAAATCCTTTTACATGGAAAAACAACACTTCATATTTAGCAGCACAAAGGACAGTTATCATGTTATGAGTTGTAAATGACACCATTGAAAGAGCTGTTAAATTATTGCAAGGCTTTTATAAATTATTAACTGTGGATAAAGAACAAAAGGAGTTTGTATTGCATTGTGTGCAAGATCATTAAATGCTATATCCAAATTGCAAAAAGAAACATTGAAGAGAAAGTATGCACAGTAGTTTCTAATCTTGTAATTGAATATTATAGACAACTATTATATCAAAAACTTAATAAAATGTTGTATTTCTTAGTTATTGATTTTTTACTGTTGCTTAATATCTCCCATGTCAATCATTCCTCATATTCAAGTTTCACACTCAAGTCAGCACAGGTTAATGTCATCCTATCAAGATAAAACTTCATATTTAAATAATTCTGACCAAATGCAAAAAATTTAGAGGATGTCTCTTATTTTAGCAAAAAAATTTTTTGTCAAAATAAGGACTTCCTAATGTACACATACCATATTCTTTAATTATTTAAGCTTTCACTGATATTTTACAGACTAAATCTTGTGAGATCAACAATAAAAGTTAAACTTTACATATCACAATATCATTTGTAGATTGCATTTCTTATTATAAAGTCCACCATTTCCCCCCAAAAAATTTATTATTGTATCTATCTATACACTATATATTTGTGAATTGTCATTTATATGACATTATCTGTATAATCTTAGTTTTAATTACTTTATTTTAATCCTTTTGCTAATAATGTATTTGCTTTAATTAATTAACCCTTTAATATCCTTTACTCAAACTTATAAATTTTAATAATTAAGAGAAAAATAGATTTAACAAGTAAAACAGCAAAATCATATTTAGAACAAGACTATGTCTCGGAGACTCACTACTAAGTGGAATCACTTTGATGCTCAAGGCGGGTCTCGTTCTCATTCTCCAATCTTCTTTGGTATCGCTGCTTTTGGGCACGATCATTCAAACTTCGCCGGCTACAGCCACGAGGTTGTCCACGATGCATTTTCAATGAAATTAACCTATCCAATTTTGAAATTTCTCTCCGTTGCATGTTGGCCAGGGTTGAATTTTTGTCGATGCGTAACGAAAATTTCCCATTTTTGAAAAAATAATCGTGGCTACTGTATCATCTGAAATTATTTTTTTATTTTGCACAAACAATATACAGTTTAACCCGATTATAACATCATCGGATGTAACGACAACCCTAATATAACATCAAATTTCTATCAGTCCTCGATTTTACTATACTAGATAATGTTAAAAAACCTACTTGTAATGACACCCTGTTTTAATGTCATATTTGAAACACTCCCAAATTTACAAAATTAAATTACAAATTTTATTTAACATAGAAGAAACTATGTGTTCAGTCCTAAGGTCAGAGTTCACTTCTTAGAATGACTGTGGGTGGTACTCTGCCCCACCTGACTTCGGTGGGGTGAGGTGCCTGTTTTGCCTGTTTGTAAAAGAGGGTCACCATTTTGTATTTTATTTTGACTTGGATCTTTGTCCCCTGACTACCTACAAGTCTGGATTTTTTATGTGCAAATGATTTGAGCACATAATACTCTGTGCCAAATATCAACTCTCGACATGTACTCCTTCATACCTCTAAGCTGGTAACATAAATTGGCAGTACAATTTTATAAACAAGACATAGTCTTGTCAAAAAGTTTTGGCAAATAATGAGTTAGACCATGTATTCCAATCTCCATTCAATTTTTATTTCATAATAACTGTTATTCACACATGTATATTATATCTAAAACTAAGGATTAGGCTGATCTCATTGTAAAAAAAAAAAAAAAATGCAATTTTTACTTATAAAAAATTTGACTTTTTGGTTCATTTCTCTAGCTATTATTGGTGTATCAAATTCATACATCATTCTTGCAACATTAAAACCATTAATTTTGGACATTTAAAAACAATATTTATGGACAAAACACACAGTCAACATGGTGTCAATGGACTTCATCAACAAACAATGACTATATGCAGTGCTGTCTGAAATGGAGTGCTTCAATGGCCAGCCACATAAGTAATTCATGGATGAATGTTTATTAGCAGCTAATTTTTTCATAAAAAATATCTTTTGGTTAGTACTTATTGTGACTAAATTTTCATCATATTTGGTGAGTACACTTTGGGTAACCTCTCTTGTTAGAAAAAAAAAATTTATTATATTTTGAGTGTATACAGAGTGTACTGTTTTATATAACTGTATAACATTCTTACCCTTTAAAGCTTAAATATTACCCAATTTTCTTCTTTTTTCAAAATTAGCAAAATACCAAAAAACCAGTATTAGTGCCAGTATATTACTGGATAATACTTTTGAAAATCTGGACTGAAAACTAGTAATATTGGCATCAGTAATACCAATATTGCAATCCCTAATATATTTTAAAATTCCACATATGAATATCAAAATAACTAAAACTGTTTTAAAACATTAAAGCAATGTTATGATTTGTAAATATACTACATTATAAAACAAAAAGTTTCCTAGTCAACATGTAAACCTGCCTCATAATTTTTATTTAAAATAATAAAATATATTAACATACTATATGTAATTTTGAATAATCTTATCATTTAATTTGTATAATTAAAAACAAATTATTCCTAGTTTAATTGTCCAAATTAATGAAATTTATTTATTTAAATACATAAATTTTATTTTACCTGTATTAATTCATTTTCAATCATTGGTTTCTGAAGTATGTCTTTATGAATAGCATAGTTGACAGTTTTATCTGAAGAAAAATCATTAAATATACATGTAAATCTAATAAATGTATTGTCATAAACTAAAATAGGTGAAAAAATTAATAAAATAAATTATTGTTCAATAAATTATGAAACAGTTACAATAATGGAATCAAGTGGAACAGAAAATTAAAATAATTTTTAGTTTAATGTGAATTAGATGAAATAGAGAACTGTCATATTTTGATAAAGTTGATAAAACCATAATAGAATATCATTCATCCCTAGAATTTTGATTAATATTTTGTTTGATAACTGATTATCAGAATACATTGCAGCACCACATTGGGCATGGAGAAAAAAGCTATTAGAAATGAATCATTGCAGCATATATTAATCAGTTCAGAAATATATGATAGTCAGTTATATCAAACACTTCATTAAATTAATGATTTTGTAGATATTTGTCATATAGCTTTTTGAAAGAAATAATTTATGAATTTCTATCACTAAAATTGTTATAAAGACAATTTTAGTGATAAAAAATTTATATGATTTGTACAATTTGCCATCTTTGAAAACTTGATAAAGATCAGAACTAAATAGCATTCTTTAGTTCTGATCATCTTCAAGCAGCAAGAGCCGTTGATAGAAACATTGTCATAGATGGATGGCTGAAAAGAAAATAATGAGAAAAACTTAAAGCTTTATGAAAGACTTCGAATACTTGAAGTCTTTCATAAAGCTTTAGAATTATTACTATTCTCCTTTACCAGTAAAAACTTACTGGTGGATAACATAAAGTTTAACCTATCTATTCTGTTTATTTATTTATTTATTCTATTCAATTTTAGAAATCTGAAAATAATCATTTAAAATAGTGGAAAATGTGTTTTAACATTACATTTCTTGTTCATTGCTGGTTTTTGGTAATTTGTGTATTTATCTTAGTACTTTCATTCAGTATACTGCTGTTGATCAATGTTTCAACTTAATCATAATTATTTAATTAAAAGTTAAACTAAAATAATGATAAAATATAAAATGATAAAATTAATATTTACCAAATAATTCCTTCAAGAATCCAGTTGTTGATGCTCCTATTCCAAACATTCCATAACTGAATATTTTTAAAAGATGCTAAAAGTAATTTAAGAATAATTAGGAAGTAATTATTTTAATTAGCTGAAAAAACTATAAAATAAGTTTTGTAAAACATCACATATGTCTAAATACAAAAGAAATTTGTACATATTTTCCCATTTTTGACTCTTTTCCACTCTTTTCGCACTAAGGCCTTTTAACTACACTCATCATGAATTCAACCAGGTCTACAATGGAGGCAACTGGTTGGTAGATATCAACAGATGTGCATTGCATCATTAATCTCTAATGTTCAGTGAAGTTATTTAGTGTAATAAGTACTGAAAATTATTTTTTTATTTATAATTAAATTTTGTGCATTTGTTCTTCATTATCAATCTTGTTAATTAAATATTTACAATTAAATATTTTGCAATAGTTGCAATTAAATATTTACATTTTATTTTGAGAATGTGGAAATTGAAACTACATGCCAATTTACAATGTATGTGCACCTGCAATAAAAACTTTTGTGAGGGAGGGGGAGAGAAAGAGAGAGAGAGAGAGAGAGAGAAAATACAATATATCTGTCAATGAAAGAGAATAATTAGGTAAATTCTTAAGAGAATGTCAAAAATATCCTCTGAGAATTTACCTATCACCTAGAATTTTTCTGCCAATCACTCATATCAATATCAATAAAACACAAAAATACCTAAATTTGGATCTATAGTATTTTGGGAAGTGGTCAGATTGAAAACAGGCCCATTTATTCAGCTGCTCCAGCTTAGTTCCTACTGATTAGCCATCTTTAAAAACTAAATCTGAGCCAGTTTCAAGGAGGTTTTTGGTCACTTTTGTTCTTCTTTTGACCATCTCCATGTCTGAAGATCAAGATCTCTTTCTCTCTCTTTGGAAACTCAAATATATATATATATATTTGGACAGGATTTTTTAGCTTTTGTTGCTAGTATAATATTGCAGTTTATCTTCTCTTGTAATAATTATGTAAATTATGAATTTTCTTTTAGGCATAGTATTTTTCTGTCGAACTTCAATTTTTATATGTTAATTTTATCATTTTTCTATACTTATTTTATGTAAATAATGTAGTTTAGTTCTGAATTAGTAAATTAAATTACACCTCAAGTCTCCTATACTGGAGGTGACTGACCATAAGGAGCTTGGTAATATTTCTCTCTTCTGGATGTCCCTTGGTGCTATTTTATCCTTGTACCTGAAGTAAAGGTAAGTTAAATAACAAAATTAAAAGATACATTAAATGATCATTCTTACATGAGGGGCACAACATATCCAGAACAGATCACCCATGAAAAATTCCTGCAGAGTTGCTTTTCCTGGTTTTGATTCTGGGTCCCCAGAGTAGCAGGCTAATGCCTTAAAACTTTGACAATTAAGTCATCATGTTAAATATATTAGAAACTTTAAAATAGAAAAATATCTGTTAAACTGAAGTTTTACAAAAAATTTTCAGTTAGAAAGCACTGATTCATATTATAATATTGTTTCTAATGATGTAACATCCACTGTCATTCATTACATGTATAAATGTTTTCAAAAAACAGAGTACTTAGCTGTAATACTTTACAGTACATTTGCTTTTTAATTTCCCCATAAAAAAATATATTTAATAAAATGAAATCTTTAATAAATGAACCATGAAACAGTAAATTCATTTCACAAAATTTATAATTTTAAATTTTATTTTATTGGAGAAGTTATGTTAATTGCAACAGCTATTGATCAAAAATGAAAAATTAATTTTACCTCAACAACTTTAAATTTTATGCAAATCATCTTATTTATCATCTATATTAATATACAGTGGGTGATCGGTTAACGAACATAATCCGTTCCAAGACTTTGTTCATTATCCAAATTGTTCGTTAACCGATTATCGATTTACCATAGGTTTTTATGGGCATTTGATTAATTCATTTCGAAGACTCCAAAAAGTAAAAAATATATTCTTTTTTACTACGTTTATTTATATGTAATAGTAAAAATACATATATATGTAGTCTTGCATTTTTATTAGTCATGTTTTTTCCGCTTGTGGGGGTTAAAGAATCTGTCCAATGTCGATTGTTTTTCTCTTTTCATCAGGATTTTTCAGAAGTAATTAATAGTATTGTAATTGTAGAGATTGACAACTCCATTAACCTTATTCTGGTTTGGATGCCACTTGGATGAACATTGTTTTGACATTCTCCCACTTCTTCAAAAGATCTTTAGTAGTAGATGTTGACATTGGTCTTCTTTCGTTTTCCTCTTTTTCAAAAGAAAACACATCTCGCTGAGTTTCTTGGTATTCTTCATTTGAGAGTTCTTGGAGTTCTTCTGTCGTCAGATCAGTTTCAGCTCTATTATGAGCTCTAAAATTCTCTTTATTTCTCAGATGTGATTTTCATGACTTCATTAGCAGCTTGAGACTTCTTGATATATCTTTCATAGCTAAGATTGTGCCTACTGTAGACCTGTTCAAGCCATTCTGCCTAGCAATATTAGACATCTTGTGCNGTCATGTTTTTTCCGCTTGTGGGGGTTAAAGAATCTGTCCAATGTCGATTGTTTTTCTCTTTTCATCAGGATTTTTCAGAAGTAATTAATAGTATTGTAATTGTAGAGATTGACAACTCCATTAACCTTATTCTGGTTTGGATGCCACTTGGATGAACATTGTTTTGACATTCTCCCACTTCTTCAAAAGATCTTTAGTAGTAGATGTTGACATTGGTCTTCTTTCGTTTTCCTCTTTTTCAAAAGAAAACACATCTCGCTGAGTTTCTTGGTATTCTTCATTTGAGAGTTCTTGGAGTTCTTCTGTCGTCAGATCAGTTTCAGCTCTATTATGAGCTCTAAAATTCTCTTTATTTCTCAGATGTGATTTTCATGACTTCATTAGCAGCTTGAGACTTCTTGATATATCTTTCATAGCTAAGATTGTGCCTACTGTAGACCTGTTCAAGCCATTCTGCCTAGCAATATTAGACATCTTGTGCCCACTTTCTACCTTGGCTATTATCTCTTGCTTGGTTTCTACGGTGAGCATGGTTCTTGACACTCCTCTTTTTAAGCTCCATAATATTATCAGTTTCTTTTTTAAATAAAAAGTTCAGAAAAGCACTTACAAAAATTCAGAGAACAGAAATCAACTAGCCCACAAAAAATTATTTAAATGCAAGGCCCGGATGAAATTTGAAATTTAGTATTAAAACGTTAACGAATATCCAATGAGACAATTAAACTTTCACCTTTTGTAAATAAACCCTGATGCACAACTTAACAAGTGCATGTCCAACAGTCTCGCAAATACTATAAAAAATTATTTGTCAGAAAGGTAAACAAAAATCTGGAATTACAAGGGAGAGTTTCAAAATTTGGAGGAATATTATACTATCCGATCGGTATCAGGTTGACGTTGATGTTGAAGTTTCCCGCGCTCTGAAAGGTTTCGAATTGTTACTCGAAGACACGGGAAAATCAATCGGTTTTTTTTATTTTCTGTCGCTTCTTTTTATGTTTGTTCAGTAAAGGGTTCATTAACTGAACATGTATTCATTGTCCGATCATAAAAATCTTTCCCAAAAGTGTTAGTTATCCGATTTGTTCGCTATCTGAACTGTTCGTTAACCGATCATCCACTGTATTCATCATCTCAGTAATATTAATCTTATTATCACTAGGATTAATGGAGTAAGAAATTTAGTTAATCAAGTAAGTCAGTAAATGGTAATCAGTTAAAAACATTTCTATTGTATTTCCAAAAATTTATAAGATAATCTATATGACGTATATGTGACAGAGTAAAAAATAAACTAAGCTTTTAATATAACTTTTATTACATTAATAAAACAAGTGTTTGCAGATCATCTTCAGAAGAAACACCTTTCCTAGCTATACACTTCTTCAATGTTTGTATTACTTATTAAAACAGTTTTACTGCCATTCTGTATTATCACCTTGAGTACAATCATTGGAGCACTTTTCATTTTTCCTGATGATTTTAATGTACCTTCAAGTAGAGCTTTCATTTGCGAAAGACTTGAAAGTCTATAGAAGTAAAGTCCAGTGAGTAAGGATTATGGAAATGTAAATATCTGGTGTTTGGCCAGGTGTTCACTAACTAGGAGAACACAATATGCTAGGATGTTGTTATGATGGAGAACCTAGGTTTTTGCCTACCAGAACTGTAACTGCTTTTGTCTTACTGTGCCACAAAGGCAATTAGATGCCAATGTTAATGTGTTCCCTATAGTAGACACATTAACCTGTTCTGCATTGTCCTGAATATTTTCGTGTTGACCACATTTGACCTGCCCTGGTGACCCTGAATATATTTGTCTCTGCATCAGAACATTTTTGATACTAGATGTCACTATGCATCATAATTTTTATATGAAAATGAACTTTTGAAATAAAATGTTTTTTGTTTTTATACTTTTCAATATATTTATTTTGTTTGTGCAAAATAAAAAATTAATTTTTAACAATACAGTAGCCATGATTATTATTTATAAAAAAAAATTTTTTTATTAGGCTTAACATCGACAAAAATTCAACATGGTGGCTACACACGAAAAAAAATTTCAACATGTGATAGAACTCCTTGTTAATATGTCTACTGTAGGGAACAAACTTGTAACACACCAGGCCTTTCATATAAGAAGAAGCTACAACCATTATCTTTTCCTTGGATCCCTCATCAACATGGTAGTCAGCATTTTCCGCCTTGGTATCTTTACCAAGGCAGAAAATGCTGATTACCACATTGATGTACTTTATCAATGTGGTAATCAGCATTTGCAGGTAACACAAGAAACATTAGACTTCATCACCAGTGATCACTCTGTTTAAGATACTTGGGTCTTTATCTACTATCATCAATATGTTCTCTACTGATGAGTTCTTGTTCACTTTGCTCATCTGTTAACTTCCTTAGAACAATGTCAGAACAGCTATAATGCATTTTTAAGCTGTCACAAAAAATGTCTTGCAGAGTTAACTGAGCATGACATTCCTAAAACATCAACCAGGTCATCTATTGATTGTCTACAGTAGGGATTTCAAATTCAAACACAGCAAAGGGCCATTCAAATAGATGTATATCAGTTGTGGTCCATATTCATTATTATTTGGTAAACCAAAACAAACTGTAAACTAAAAAAAAAAGGCTCTAACAAAGACCCTTTTGTTGCCAGACCTTTACGACTTATGTAAACAGTTAGAAGTTTGAATCGTTTCTGTTTTAATCCCTGCAAAATGTTAGAAACATTGATTTTTAGAAAAGAAATCATCAAGGCCATGAGCCAGATAGGAAGACTTAACAGGCTGTATCCAGCCCAAGGGCCGCCAGTTTGCGACTTCTGGTCTACAGTCTCTTTTGATATCTTTATAAATTCAGAAAATCATTTCTTAATTTCTTGCTGAATTTGGGCTACCTGGATGGGGAATGACCTCTGCTGATTCACAGATTTCTTTAAAACACTTATGCTATTCATACACTTATGTTCATGGTGTCATTGCCATATACTTCTTAAAACATTTAATCATGTTTTGATATAGCTTTTACCAAGTTTGACAGATTTTAATGTTTATTTGCTATTTGTGATGTGTCTTTTCAGAATTCTGACAGCACAACCTACATATTCCAATATTTTGACATTTTGTGTTCTAATCTATATTAAACAAGTACTGATAAATCTAAAAAATGTTCAAACACAAGCATGCTTACAATTACAACCCTTGCTAGGCAACATCAAAAGTCAGTTTAAGAGATAATAAGAAAAGACAACTGTCTGTCAGTGTTACTTTAACCTTATTAACACAGAAAAACTCACTAGTGCTTTCAACATTGTAGTTCTTTGTATATTAATTAAGTCTGCTGTTTTAAATTTTATATTCTATTCTTGAATCAGTTTTTAGAACAAGAGTTTCTGTAACTGTGTGTGTTCTATGTTTGAACTACATAGCCTGAATATAACATTAATGCAATGTTGAAAGTACTAGCAAATTTTTCTGTTATTAAAGTCAAAGTAGTACCAATAGACAGCTGTCTTTTTCTTATTATTTCTTAGATACTTTTGTTGTATAGTGTTTGTTGACTCTACTGTGTATATCTATGGAATTCCTCTATTAATTTACATAAACTTATGTGGGGCTGAGTGGGGAGAAATTTAAAAAAAACTCAATGAATGATAATATGTGGTATATATCGTCATCATCTCCCTTGCCATTTGAACTGCCGAGCGGTAACAATCAACGGCATGTGGAAGCAGTTGAGTCAGAGATAGATGCCTCGTTTACAAACAACACAACCCGTTTATTAAACACGAAAGAAGCTTACAAGATTTCAGCAATCTTGGAAGTTCTACGCTGGCTGCGGCCTCTGGGTCTTCCTCTCCTTTCCAAGATAGTCCCATTTTGAAGGAGTGTTCCTTGTTCGCAAATGAACAATTCCATCACGTCTCGACAACTCTGGGACGATGCAGTTGACTTCTGTTGATGGAAAGATGTTGATCTGAGGTCGGGAGATGGAGACGAAGATGGGTGTGAGACCCACACACAACAATAGATCCGTCACTTGGAACTTTCAAAGAAGAAGCCGTTGCGTCCTTGAATTTCTGGGTTTTATCTGTTTTCCTTCAATTCCCCTTTCCGATTGGTCTCTTCTTGTCACCTGATGATAATTTGAAACCTTTCACGGGTGCAGGAAAGGTCAAAATCAAAGTTTAATTCGATCTCCAACTGGAAATGGTTGACGGACTTACATTCTTCTATTGTTTAAAAGTTAGCATCGCGTTTTCATAAAATAAAAATCTATTTCTAACTACTATATTTTTTCTTTAAAACAAAATTATTTTAACATGAATTTTAGTGAGGGTTCAGACCTGTCCAGAACCTCACACTTAATATAATCCTTTGAAAATTAAAACAGATTTCAGAAGTTTATTAAAGAAGATTTCAGAAGAAAATTAAAACAGATTTCAAAAGTTGTAGAAAATTAATAAATTAAGTAATATTTATTAATTTTCTACAACTTTTGTTAAAATATTTAAACATTTTCAATAATCAAAACTCAAAAAGATAAGATAAAATATTAAAAATTATTTCTGTACAAAAATATCATTTTTGCTATTCAATAATAATGTAAGAAAAACCATTTATGCCTTTTTTAATTCTGTTATTTATTCTTTTTGTAATCAAAACATAATGGTAAGACGACATTAAAAAAAATGAAATTTTGCTAAGTTCTTTCTGGCCAGTGTCGCTTTGATACAGAAAAAAAAAAAAGCAAAGAAGAATTTGACTTGAGCAGTTTAGACAGCTAATGAATTAAAACTAATTGACTTTATTTACGTATTTACATGAAATATATAAAAGACATAAAGATGCTATTGAAAAATCATATTATAAAAAATAAACTCCTAATTCCAGAAATTGCAGAGCTGAGACCATAATATTGCACAACTTGATTGTAATGATTAGTACAATATTACATTAATCATTGTGTCTGAGATACCTGTAAGAATCATCTGCATTTGATCATAATATCTGCAAGAATTGTGTGTGAATGATCTTGTGAGCCGCAGATTTTTACGGGACTCATAAAAATCTAAATTTTCTGTTAGTTGAAAATATCCTTAGAAAAAACCCGAAGAATTTGAACTAGATCGGATTTCACCGATTGTATAACAACTAGCTGGAAAGTTTACACTTAGGTGTGAAGAATGCACCGTCATCGTCAACAAAAGTCAATCACGTGTCAGTTTTCCCACGCGAATGATATAAAAGCTCAAATCTCCGGAAGCTCGGGCAATTCGTCACAGGAAGTTATACTTGGTGTAGTGCCACCTCGACTCCCAAACCTTCATTCATTCATTCATTCATTATTTTATTGTACATATATAATATATATATATATATATATACAGACCGGCCCCACTTTGTTGCATTACCGGTTGTACACAAAGAAATTACAATGCTCAGGTATAGATGTTGTACACATAACTCTAATGATGAAGAATTAAGATAACATAAGAAATAAAATACATAAAATAGTACATTAATAACATGAAAATCAAAATAAAAACAAAACAAGTTAACTGATCTATATACAACTATGTACAAATTCATGACAAGCTGCTGTTAGTATTGAAAAACATGTAAAGTTCATCATTATTATCAAATACATATACTCGATTATACAATACATAAGACACAATAAATAAGTACAATAATCAGCAACTTGCCAATCAGAGAGAAATACTTGACATTAAAAGTGTGTCAATGACACCAAAGTACAAACAATAAAGGAAATTCAAAGTATGCTAAGTACAGTACATATAATTTATATGACAAAATGTATGGTTCTTAGTAACAATTATTAGAAAGAACTAAGATCATTAATTAAAATTATACAATAATCAAATATTATACAGCGATATACATTCTACAGTTCCAAAATACAAATGTCAGACCACAATCTCCAGACACCGGTTAATCGTTGAGTTGTGAAGTAGCCTCGCAGATCACTGTATTACGTAGTCAGTTCTTTGTTGGAATTTAGTTTTTTCTCTTAGATACACTGGGCAAGTTTTATCCATTGTGTTGTGACAATTCTGTACTCTGTTTTCTTTTAAGCAGTTAGCACACTTCGGTGAGTCATGTTTGTTTTGGCAATCTTTGTATAAATAATTTCCGTTACAATGGCTACACACATTTTCTTTTAAAGAACAATTTTTCGCAAAATGTCCAAATGATAAACAGCGATAGCACTGTGTTATAGGGAGAAAGTCAAAGACAGGACAGGTTGTCCAAAGAAGATGGATTTTTCCCGCTTTTATCATATTTTCTCTAATTTGTGGAGATACTTCAATAATCCAGGAAATATGATTTTCATTTTTTTGGTTAAGCGGAAACCTTATGTTAACGTTTTCAACAAAAGTGCGTTCAGTATAGGTGGGGAAAATGTACGGGTTTTGCTCAAAAATGTCTAATGCAAGGTCCTCTTTATTAATGGTTTTCGGAACGGAAGCAATTTTGACTAATGGTAGTCTCTTTTTTGGCAAACGTGATACTAAACCTGGAACTTGTTCGGCATTCTCTTTAAAGTAGTTTACCTCACTCTTATGGTTTAAATCTACTGCAATTCCACCATTCCTAATTTTCCTTAATCGACGTATGCCTACACCAAGCTTATCAGGTCTCACGTTACTAGTTAAAGTACTTTTTGTTTCATCAGAAGTGGCTCTATTATTATCACTATATACTAATACAGTATATGCAGGTAGAGGTTGTTCGTCTATAATTTTAGTTTGTTTTATTCCTTTTTGTAAGATATCTTTATAGCTAGGAATGCTAGGAACTTTTTCACTAGTTAGATCATCAAAAGAGGTTTTCCTCTGATTTTGTACTGTTTGTTGAATATCCATTAGGATTTTTGTAGTTTCATCAACATGAGCATCTTTGAATTTCTTTAAATCATTTTTAGTAGCTAATCCTGAGAGTGTCTGTTCAATATAATCATTTAGATTGTTTTTCTTAAAAGTACTTTCCGCCAGTTCTACTACTCTGATGAATTGTGTCAGTACATACGTTAAGTGACATTCCACTCCTAATTTGGCCTTCGGGTTATGCTTGGAATATTGTTTAATCTCATCGATAATGCCATAGGCAGTGTCGTGAAATGTTTTGACCTCAGATTCCATACCAATCAAAATAATAGATTTTAAAATTAAAAAAAAAAGTTAACAGAGAAAATGTAACTTCCGGAAAAAGTTCTAGAACTTTCCTGTAGAAAAAGTCATTGAGCATTGCTATGACTACCGGCAATGGAACAGTAGTGTTGAAATTCCAAAATTTTGTAGAACAGCGATAATTTAAAAACTATTGGAGATATTAGCATGAAATTTTCGGAAAAAGTCACGTTTGGTATCTTCTAAGAGACACCCAAAACTTTTCGGAAATAACAAGTCGGAAGCGAGTTATAACCCACTGAAATTTAACCGGAAGTCTCCCAAACCTCCATACAGCGGACCCGATCCAGCTACAGAGAGAGGACATCGAATAGAAGATACCAAGGACTCCTACCTCTTCCATATAGACGATTGCGCCAACGCTCCATTACGCCGAGAGGTATTTAGGGGATCTAGAATTTGTAAAAGTGCTCTCTCTTGAACTAGAAATTAGGTCAGCAACATAGCTACGAAAGTAGTCGCCATATTTTGTAAATATTTTAATATAACCACATTTAACCTTAGTAGTAAGTTCGCCTCCTGTAATTTAGATTTAGTTATTCAATAAATGCTTTGTTATTTCGTTGAACCTGTCTCCTGTCATTTAAGGACACCTGCCAGCTTCCTCACCCCCTCCCCACTCAATTTGCCCTCCTAGCCATCCAACGACTCCGAGATCAGGTTTCATCAACCCGTGCAGAGTAAGTGGTCATTTGGGGATTAACCAGTGACCCACTGTTAATCTCACAATCTTATCCCAGGAGTCAGATCTTGCAGATCAAAGGACTGAATGGATCCTTATCTAATAGCCTGTAAAATCCTATAGTTCTAACATTAGTCATTTTGTTTTTCATTATTGACCTCAATGACTAACAAAAACATTCCAGATAGTTTCCAGATTTTCAGAATAACCTCTTTTTCTATGAAAATAAAGCATTCTTTAAATGACAGATACATTGTGAGTGTCCCCTTCTCTCTCTCGAAAAAGTTTGTTATGGCAGGTGCATGTGTATTATAAATTGGAACTGTATTCTTCACATTCCAAATATTAAATTAAATAAGAATCTTTAAATTATTATGTGGAATGCTCTGACCTTATTAGTTTTATGACAAAATATATTTTTAAAGAAAATCATTAATAATGATAAAAAAGAAATAAATAACTGATATTATAATAAATAATTTTAAATTATCTAAAAACCATAAATATATAATTTCTATAATAATTAATAAATACCTCAATTGATCCATCATCAGATTTAATTATATTTTCTGCAGGAACTATAGTTTCTTTGAATTCCACTGAACATACTATAAAAAAATTATTAAATTTTCATCAGTTTCTCAATTTAATATAAAAATTTGCAAGTTTTAAATCTCTACATATTACATAACAGTAAATGAATTTGTAAGATTTTTTAAGGGATGTAAACGATATTGATTCATAAGTAATGCAAACTGATTTATAAAGCCAAGCAACCACTGGATTATATTGGGCTACTTTTCTGTGATTATATTTAATCAATTACTAAATAATTTGTCACTAGAGGGAGGCATCTAGAGCAAGAGTTGCAGGTTCTGGGCTGATTCTTTTCTTCCTGAATATTCTAAATTATTTTTAAAATATTAATTTAATTATAATTATTAAGTTTAATAAGAGATGGTGCCTAATGCCTCCCTCTAGTGACAAAGTATTTAGTAATTAATTAAATACAATCACAGAAAAGTAGCCCAATGTAATCCAGTAATTGTTTGACTTATCAGGTTTCATGATATTTGTTTATATATAACTGATTTATATTAATGTTTCTCAATTTTTTCCAACATGACTCACTTAACTCATTTCAGAAGACATTTTCATAATTCTTAACTAGCTTAATCTAGCTTCCATAATTCTTCTAAAAAGTTCCAGAACCTAGAGGTGAAATTTGGTACACAGTTAGGGTACGTCACGAAAACGCACACTAAGAAGGGATTTTTCGAAATTCCCCCACGGAGGGAGAGGGAGAGCATTAAGTCTTAACCTGAAGAATGGCTTATACTGTACTATTTTAGATGCGATTATTTGTTATTAATTACGTTTAGTCTTCATTGAGTACTTAGGAGTATTAAATTGATAACATTTTAGACACTGTTATAAATAATTTTTATATATTTCGATCTTTTTAACCAAATGTTCAAACTGTTTTAAATTCAAATTTCTTTTTTCATATTGGTTTGATTATAGAACGATTATAGATGTTCCAGAAAATTTATCAAATTAAAAACAGTTTGTTTGATTCTCAGCAATTCTCATCATTCTCAGCGATAGGTTTTACATAACAATTACTATGGTTGTTGAAATATTGAATGTAAATAGGATTTGCTTGCAAAATCCGCACGAGCGAAGCCACGGGTAACAGCTAGTTTATATATATAAATTTCATACAAATGAAATAGACTTGTTTTTCTTCATTTTTGAAATAGATATAATTACATTTTCAGAATCCTATCCCATCTTATTATCAATTATAACAGAAATATTGGTGTGTTACAACTGCAATGGCAGCACTTTGTTGACACAATGTCATAGCTGTCTTCACAAAATGATACTGAAATCATATACAAAAATAATGATTCTTCTAGTGTTCAGTTTCTTACTTTTTGACTAACCTTTATAATTTTGATTGGCATTCTGATGACAAACTATAATCATTTAAAAGGATCATATACAGAGTAGACCAAATAAAGTGTCACTGCTCAATAGCAGTCTCATCCTGTATATAAAAAATTGTTTATGCTACTATTTTAAAACTGATCAGTATCTTATAACATAGTGTTCTCTAAATATTAAATTATTTTTTATGAATATTTTTATAATGATAAAATTTATCTATTTACAACACTTTAGTCTTATATAATTAATATTTTATATAGATTAAAATCATAATGTTCTTATATACTATAATATGCCAGAAGAGTAAAGAGTAATAAGTAATTTTTTTAAATTAAAAAAGCTACTTAAATAAATATTAAAATATATTACAATTTTATTATGATAATTAATAACATAGTTTTTAAAAAATGTCAAAACTTACTGTTGCAACCAGTAAGACCAAGACTTTTCTCAGGAGTTCCAAGAGTAATACCTTCTGAGTTTTTTTCAACAATAATTAACCCAATGCTTTCAGACTATTATAAATAACATTTTAAAATATTATATAGCTTAGTTTTATCTATAATGTATATATTAATTGTTATGTGTATAATTAATATAATTATAAAATTTTCAAATAAATTTAGAAATAATTGGTTCTTAATAAAAAATAAAATAAAAAATTATTACAGAAATCGCTTTTAGCCCTAAGTATAATTAAATTAATTAAAATATCTATAACCATACGGCAGATAATAGTAAGGGCTTATTGAATAGTAAAGGCTACATTGATAATGCTTACTGCTCATACAGTCATGGCGATGGTTTCATCTTTATATTGTATAGCTTTAGGCATAGTTTTAAGTTTAATTTTAGATTTAATATTTTTTCACCTTGTATAATTTTTAAGTATACTAAGACCTCTCGCTATTACCAACTGAAATGCATTTTGGATTTTTACAGTTTTTTATACTTATGTAATCATCTTATTGTATATCCTTTTTGTTTTATTAAATGTTTTTACTTTGATTCTTGAGCATTTGTGCCCATTATCATTGGTGTGATAAGCCCTTACTATTCCTTATTATAAACCTTATGGTTATAGATATTTTAATTAATTAAAATAAAAAATGTTTACAAACTATTATTACAGTAGTGGCCAAAATTATTGCATTACATTTGGGAATCTGAAGAACTACTGCTTTAAAATAAATAAGTTTTTTTTTTAATTCTTTCTGCCCTGTTAGCACTAAGCAGATTTTTTAAATCAAGATCACCATGGATTTGGTAAGGCACACAACAGGGCAGACAGGTGGTGAAGGACAGGACCTGACATATCTAGAACAAACCATTTGCATAAAATTCCTGGAGTTTTTAGACCCATTGAGATTTGTTTCTGGGTCCACCTTAACAACTTGTCCATCCAGCTGTCCTTAAAGAAATGTTGTATAATATAATTTAGTTACTGCACCAACTGTTTAGTATATATAATAGGCAGGAAATAGTAATTTTCATTTGCATTAGGTCAGTTGTTCATAAAATAGTTTGAATGTATTTCTTATATTGTAAGGTTCCATAAGATCTTACAATATAATGGCAAAAGAAGAATATTTATCTTGCTATTTGATAAAAGATAGAAAGTTAATTCTAACATTTATCTCACAAATAGAATATGAGATAGTTGCTTAATTAGACAACTAGCAAGAGAGTTTAATTCATCACTAAATATGAAAAGCATTTGATATTTGATAAACTGAAGAACTAATAAAAGAAATATATCTTTTCTTTTTTCTTTATTTCTTAATTGTAACAAGATGGCTAAAAAAAACAAATAAAACAAAATGTATGTTCACAAAAAGACAGAAACAAAACAAAGCTGTTTCTTTGGCATAGAACAAACTCTTGAAGAATATTTTCTTTCAAATTAGAAGTAAAATCTCCACTGATCTCAAGTTAACAGTGCTCAAGTTGCAATGAGAAAATATAACAAGACTTAAAATATACTACTTACTGTCAATACTACTACAAAGTGATATATCAATGATAATTTACAGATATCACTTTTTTTTTATTTTAGTATTCCAAGAAATTTGATATAATTTTAATTGTGATATAAGGAAATGAATATACTGTATATCAGATTATTATAATCACCAATAACACCTAATATTTGTATCACACTTCTTGTTTCTTTGTCTTCATCTTTTCTCTTTTTTTCTATTTTTTAATTGTATAAAATCAAAGTGGTTGCTTTAGTACATAATTTTTGAAAGCTTCTGCCCACTTAAATTAATTCCAACTTGATTTAATCTCCAGTTTACTACTGGAATGTTACAATAATTTTAGCTATTATTATACAATATAATATAATAATCAAATTTTAATTTTATGAATTCTTATCTAATGTTGAAAATTGAATATATAAAATAAAATATCTTACATGTTTTTCAGGTGATGGAATTTTTGCAACAACAATGAAAATATCAGCAATATTTCCATTAGTAACCCAAACTTTTTTTCCATTTAAAACAAGCTTTTTTCTGTCTTCATAAAATTCTGCTAATATTGATACTGAAGCAGGATCATAGCCTCTATTTGCAAAAAAATTCAGCAAAATTATGATAAAATTTCTATCTATTCTTCAAAATAAATAAATAATATACTATACTGTAATTTTAAAATATATACCAATAGTTTTGTCCAAGACCTATATATATGTATTATAAAATAAGTATTTGTATTTAGAGCTGTCAGTAGCTTGAAAGAATAACCCAAATGAAACCAAAATTAGTACACTTACTATTTAATAAGGGGAAAGAAGAATGGAACAAGAAAAAAAATTGCTAATAGAGTGTGCTGCGGAGCCTGTCATTTCAATTGCTGTTGTAATCAAAAGTGTACCATGGAGGTGTCTCAAGCCTAAGTGCTTTAAAAGATAGCATATCACAAGTGCAGAGCATCACTCCTGATGCATTACATTCCACAGTTGAGCACGCCATGCACCACCTGGAATTCCAGTATGTACTGTAGTTCAGTACAATGCACATACTGGTATTGTAGAACCTGAACTGAATTGTCAACACCATGTGACAGTGTAAGAACATTAACTGTGACATTTTTCAATAAATACTGGTATGTCATCAGTTTTTGCACCTTAATTATTTCTTCTTGCACACATTATATTTGAAACTTTATAGTGCTCTCTAGCAGCAATTTTTTAACTACTTTTTTTCTTGTTCCAATCTTCTTCTTTCTTCTTAAATAGTAAGTGTACCAATTATTTTGGTTTCATTTGAGTTATTCCTTCAAACTACTGACATCTCCAAAACAGAGATACTTATTTTATAACCACCCAGTATATATATATATACAAATAAACTTCATTTATGTGGCTACCTTCAGAATATAAGTGNTTTTTTCCTCGCATTTGGGTCTATAATCCTTTGAGTCACAACTCCAGCATTATTTATTATTCCTTCCAGAGTCGCAGGATTTGGCTACATTTCACCGAATGTGGCTACTTTTTTCAGTTTGATGTAAAAAATATCATTTGGCGCTTTGCCTACTTTTTGGGCTACATATTATTCATAAATATATTAGTTGAATAAAAATGCACTTTAAAAAAGTGTTTCGTCGATTTTTATTAATTAGAGACCCAAATAAAACAAATATTTGTTTTTTTTCAAATAAATTTTTGTTTGTTTCTTTATATTTATAATAAATGAATTTATCTATTTCTAAGTAAAAATTGAAAGTATCTGTAAAGTAGTTTTCTAAAATATCCTTTTTTGTGATAAAGTTTTAATACTTATTATTATAATCTAGACATATTAGTCCTTAAATATACTTGTATATTGGGCCACAAGTACATATTATATAAACTTGACTTCTTGACTTCTTCCAATTATATTATATAAACTTGACTTCTTGACTTCTCCCAAAACTCCTTGACTTCTTCCAATGCGGCCCAGAGTAACGAAAAGGTTGGACACCCCTGCTTTAAATAATACACTAAATTTAGGAATGTTGGGTTTTCCTGTTTTATTGGTCATGTAAACAAGAATAAATTTTACCTTAAGACACTCCTATTGTATTCACTTAAGCAAAATGGCCACTGATATGCAGTTTGATTTATATTAAAACATTTGCAGATCTACTGTGGAATTTCAGGGCAAAAGTGAGATGGCCACATAACTAGCATGGTGACGTCAGTAAACAAATAGTCCAACCTTTCCCTTTTTTAAAATGTCATACTATGATTCCGTTTATAAGAAAGATACCACGATACCTGAATATTTTAATCTAAAATTTCTCTATAAAAAGTTGTACTAAAATTTATAGTGAGAATAAAAAATGGATATAATAAATTTAGCTTGAAAAAACTTTCAAGTACATAAAGAAACATACTACAGCTTAAGCAACCAAAAGAATTCCACTCAGTAAATTAGCAATAATTAATTTGAATTTAATTATTTTAAAGAAAAAAAAATTATATACAATGAAATGTGAAAAAATAATGATTTGATGAATGACATAATAAATTGGCCTGTAAATAGTTTCTCCTGCTCTAGCTACTATTTCCTACCAATGGTTGACTAAACTCAAGTATACAAATGGCCAGGTGGCCAAGTAGTCAAGGTGGTAGCCTACCACTCTGGGGGACCTGGGATCGAGTCCAGATAGGTTGAAAAATCCCCAGGTATTTTTTGGGAGGTGGGAGAACTAATCAAAAATATCTGGGACAAAATTTATTGTAGGAAAACAAAATCAACTTCAGAAATATGTTTCTTTTTATATTATCTTGTTTTTATGCTGTTATATTATTGTCAATTTATAGTTTATATTCTCAACAAAATTAAATATTTTTATTTCTTAAATTTAGATATAAGAAATAAATAGAAAACTTACGAATCTAATTCCGTCAAACAAAATGCAGAAATATATTCTCCACTAGCTAATTTGGAAATATACTTTTCTTTTTGTTCATTTGTACCAGCTATTAATATACTCTATATAAATAAATTTAATGAAATTAATAAAATATATAACGTTTCACACACTTAAAGCTTATTGGTATAATTACCATCTTATTACTTCTTAAGAATTGAAAGTAAATCATTTATATGAGTTATATAATATTTATCATTAAAATTGTGAAATGCAATGTAAATATACAATTTTTTTTTTTTCTTACATTTCTGTAAAATTCATTCTTATTTGGATATATAAAAAATATAGGTATCATTAATTATTAAAATACTTTTAGAACTTAATGATACATTAAATATAGAAATAAAATATTTTTTATCAATGTTGTAAAAATTATATTATTATTATTATTATTATTTTGGGTTTAGTGGGTTATATTCAGTTTACACTGGTGGCTGTGTACTATGCTGTGTACTATACAGAGTCAAGGTATAGCAACCAAAACAGAACTAAGATTAAATGTGTTTGTCGGTGTCTGTATTCAGGAATTTCCTAACAATATGGCATGTATTCAATATAGTGGCCTTCTGTAGTGTGATGTATGTATTTCTATTCAATTGTAATGTTCCCAGGCTTTTGTGTAGTGTGTGTGGTATCACACTTGTACAGGAGAGAACGACAGGTACAATAAGCACCCTTTCCATCCTCCACAGATGCCTTATTTCCTGGGCAAGTTCTGTGTACTTGCTAATTTTTTAAGTGCATGTGTTTGTACATTGTGAGTGTTTGGAATGGCTATGTCTATAATGTATGTAATTTTATTGTGTTTGTCAATGAGTGTGATGTCTGGGTCTGTTGTGGTAAATTGTTTTATCTGTGATTATGGCTCTGTGTA